GATAGAGTGCAAAGTCCTCACCAAATTCATGGAAGCCGAAATTATGGAAAAATATCAAACGACTTACGATCGTATTATAGAACTCTTGTCTGTTTTGCCAAGACGCGGACCCGGAGCTTACACCGCCTTCTGTAAAGCGTTAGAGGAATGCGGAGAGTCGGACGCGTTGAAGTTACTGGGTACGGAAACTGGATCGGACTTCAAGAATACGATGGACGTCTGCGGTTATCTCGACCAGCACGTAGTTGCCGATTAGCTGCAACATTGCCCCCAAAGCTGGATTCGAATTCGTTCGAGAAAAGGTTGGACTCCTTTAAGAACTGGCCTATTCAAATGAGTCAAGACCCACGAGATATGGCTCACGCTGGTTTAACTTATCTGAACAGAGGAGACTCTTGTACGTGTTTCAAATGCGGCATACGTCTGAAGGAATGGAAGAGCACGGACAATCCGTAGATCGAACACGAAAAATGGTCCCCCGACTGTCAATACATCAGAATGGTAGGAGTGTTCCAGACCGGAAGTAGAGAGAGACTTTCCCAAGCTCATCGATTGTTTCCATAAATATATCTATGTATGTCCATACACGAATGAATGCTGTATACATATGTACTCGAATACTTTAGGTTGTATAAATAAAAAATAGTGCTTTCTTATATTTGTGTCAAAGAGGTTCATTGGTTCGCTGTATAAAAAGCGACGTTTTAGATATCAGTCGTTAGTTTGTCGTCATGGCTCCGTGGGAAGAGTACCTGAGCAAAATGTATTACGACCCCGAACATCCCGGTAGTTATGCCAGTCCTAAGAAACTATACGAAGCGGTGAAAGCCGAGGGACGGTATAAAATTGGCTTACATAGAATCAAGAAATGGTTGAAGGAACAAGACATTTATACCATGACTCATCAGGTCAGACGAAAATTCCCGAGAAATGAGTGAGTGAGTGAGTGAGTTATTATTTAACGTCACATCGGCAATATTTCAGCCATATCGTGACGAGAACATTTGACATTGTAATAGAATATATATAGTTATTATAAAAACCTGCCGACGAAGGACAGTAAAAATACTAGACTATCACAGATATCAATATAAAACTAGCGAACAAAGCTAAAATATTCCAATTAAAGAAGACAATACAATGTAAAAATGGGCTATAGATCGCCAACAACTGAAGGAAGATCACCATACTAGGAACCATGGGGACTTACATTACTTTTGCTACCTGTATTGACCCTAGTTGGATTTACACCATCCCTTCAGCCATTGGCGACAGAAGAGAAATCTAGCTATAAATTAAAAGCACATATATTCTACGATTAAAAACCTGGTACACTTAAATTGACTTTGAAAGTTTTGGGACTTACGTACCCCCTCAGGAGGACAATAATTTTACGCTACGTCAACCCCCTTTGAGGGTACAGCCACTAACAATCTCAGTGACTAATATAAACTACCAACAATAAAGTATTTAGCTATTTACAAATCAGTCAACAAATCTAATTTTTTTAAAAAAGCAATAATTAAATGAGAACTAACATTATTAAAAAGATCCTTCAGAGTTTTGGATTTGAAATAGATATCCCTTGTGATGGAAAATTCGATGCAGTCAAGCAAGACATGCTTGACTTTGATCCTTTCATCACAAGGGATACAAAACGGAGGATCTTCGCCTTTCAATAAATATTCATGAGTATATCTGGTATGGCCAATGCGACATCGTCGCATAATGACCTCTTCAAATCTGGACTGACAACCCAAGTAGGTGTAACCAATGTAGGGTTTTATTGCATGTAATTTATTAATACCTACTTGGGTGTCCCACTTCTTTTGCATTAGATCGCGGATGTATGTTCTAATGTTGGCTTTATAATCAGAGTATGGGATAAGAAGTGGTGTTACAGATTTGTTGAGGGCTGCCTTAGCAGCAAGATCAGCCATGGTGTTCCCAGAAATGCCAACGTGGCTGGGTAACCAACAAAAGATGATGTCGCATTGGCCAGTAGCAAGTTGATTGTACAATTCAATAATTTCTAATAAAAGTGGATGTTTGCAAGAAAGATTTTTAACAGCCAGAAGACACGAAAGAGAATCTGAAAAGATGATATATTGTTTATATTTACGGTGTTTATTAATATATTTAAGAGCTGTTCGTATTGCGTTTGCTTCTGCTGTGAAAATTGAACTGTCATTGGGTAATCTGGAAGATATTGTTTTGGACCCAATGACAGTGGCACAAGCAACCGCGCCACCATCCTTGGATCCATCTGTAAATAAGAATTTATATGTATTATATTTACTTTTTAATTGATTATATTCTTGTTTATATTGTAATTCATTTGTTTCTGATTTTTTAAATGATGTAAGTGTTAAGTCAACTTCTTGTCTAACTAACTGCCAAGGAGGAGAAGAAAGAAGACGAGAAGGAGCTATATTTTCCAGCTCAATGCCGGCAGCAGCAATAAATGGCTTAATTCTGAGCCCAAGAGGCGGAACAAGAGAAGGTTTTTTGTCAAACAAATCCTCATAGCTGGGATTAAACACACAGCTAAATGCAGGGTTAGACTCGCTAGAATATAGTTTAGTAATGTATTGTAAAGATAATTGGATACGACGTTGTGAAAGAGAAGGCTCATCTGATTCAACATATAGACTATCAACAGGAGAGGTTCTAAAGGACCCAAGACAAAGTCTTGGCCTTGGTGGTGGACAGAATCAAGTAGTTTTAGGTTGCTTTTGCAGGCTCCACCATATACGATGGAGCCATAATCAAGTTTCGAGCGGATCAATGATCGATATAGGTGGAGGAGGGTAGCTTGATCACCTCCCCACTTTGAGTTGGAAACAACTTTCAACAAATCGAGTGCCTTCAGGCATTTGGCTTTGAGTGATTTAATGTGCGGCAAAAAGGTTAAATGGGAGTCGAAAATGAGACCCAAGAATTTGGCCTCCTTAACAACTTTGATGGGAGTGCCATTTAAAGATAGGTCTGGATCTTTATGCGGCTTATATTTTCTACAAAAGTGTAGACAATTAGTTTTGGACTTGGAAAATTTAAAGCCGTTTTCTAGACACCATTTATTTATTTTGTTTAAACACAACTGCAATTGCCGTTCAATAGTATGCATATTTTTACCACGACAAGAAATATTAAAATCATCCACAAAAAGTGATCCATCAACTGAATCGTTTAAAACCTTGGATAAACTGTTGATCTTGATACTAAATAAAGTGACAGACAAAATACTGCCTTGAGGGACACCCTGATCCTGATTGTAATGATCAGACAGGGTTGAACCCACGCGGACTTGAAATTGTCTGTCTTTTAAAAACCGTGATATAAAAAGAGGCAAACGGCCTCTCAAACCAAAGTCATGTAAATCCTTCAAAATGCCATGCTTCCAGGTCGTATCATAAGCTTTCTCAAGATCAAAGAAAATTGAGACAGCATGTTGTTTATTTACTATAGCATTCTTAACAAAGGATTCTAAACGTACCAAATGATCAATGGTACTACGATTTTTCCTGAAACCACATTGAATATCTGTTATATGGTTATTGGTTTCAAGATACCAAGTTAATCTATTATTCACCATACGTTCCATGGTTTTACAAACACAGCTAGTTAGAGAGATCGGTCTGTAATTAGACGGATCGGTATGATCCTTGCCAGGTTTTGGTATTGGGACTACAATGGCATTACGCCATGAAGGAGGAAATTCTCCAGACGTCCATATTTGGTCAAAGATATCTTAAAGTGTCATCAGACATGGTTCCGGTAAGTGTTTCAGTAGCTGGTAATGTATATTGTCATCACCCGCTGCAGTGTCATGAGCTTGCTCAAGAGCAGTATGTAGCTCATGTAATGAAAACACTTCATTATAATCTTCACCGTTATTTGATTCAAAATTAAGTTTCGTCTTTTCCTGTTGTTTCTGATATCTCTGAAACTCAGGGACATAATTTGCCGATGATGAATTTTTGGCAAGAGTTTCGCCAATTTTATTTGCAATGTTGCATTTGTCAGTTATTAAATTGTCACCATCTTTAAGATGATGAACAGCAGATTTGGAACCTTTGCCTTTTATTCTCTGAACCATGTTCCACACCTTAGACATTGGCGTGCGTGAATTAATATTGGAGACATATTTCCTCCAAGATTGTCGTTTGTTTTGTTTGAAGGTACGACGTGCCTTTGCATTGAGTATTTTGAATTTATTTAAATTATGGACAGTTGGATGGTGGCGGAAATAATGTTCTGCCTTCTTCCTCGCCTTTCTGGCTTGTCTACAGTCTGTATTAAACCATGGTTTCCGTACATGTGGAGTTGTAGAGGATTTCGGTATACACTCGTCAGCTATTTCATTTAAAACGTCAGCAAAAATCTGAATGGGATCAGTTATATCACTGAAACATTCAGGTCGCAATTTAGATTTACATAAAGTTTGATATAAAGACCAGTTCGCCTTCGAAAAGTTCCATCTTGTATACGATGGAGAATCAGATGGAGTTATTTCTGAAAGTATAGTTGGGAAGTGGTCACTTCCACAAAGGTCATTATGAACAGACCAATCAAATTCATTCAGGAGGGTAGAATCTGCAAGAGACAAATCTAGAGAAGAATAAGTGCCAGTTGCAGGATGCAGATAGGTGCTTGAATCATCATTAAATATGCACAGGTCATTATTGGATATGAAATCTTCAATTATTTTGCCTTTAGTATTAGTGTTAGTACTGCCCCAGAGTGGGTTGTGACCGTTTAGGTCACCCATAATAACACATGGATTTGGGAGTTGATCATAGAGTGATTGAAGATCAGTCAGCTGAAGGTTCGATGAAAGCGGAATATACAGAGAGCACAATGTAAATGCTACACCCAGAGTAAGTCGCACTGCAACAGCTTGGAGAGTAGTATTAAGAGTAACAGGGCTGTGAATAACATTCTGTCGTATAAGGATAGTAGAACCTCCAGTAGCTCTATCACCTGGAGGGGAAAAATAATTATGGATCTGTGAGAAAACTGTAAAATGTCTCGAGGTCATTGTGATTGATGAATTTGGTCTGTTTCATATTGGAACGCTGCGCAAACTTACCCCAGAAACTATTTAAAGACAGTTTGGACAAGGCTCTTAGTCCTGGATTCTTTTGAATTTTTTCATATTCTAGGTGTATTCCTTCATGTCGGAAATAGTCTGCGATGTACTTTTGCTTGTCAGACTCATCTTTACACTGAGCGGGCCATCCGGAAGATTCCTGTTTGATCTTTAGGAAGGTATTGATATAATCCGCGAACAGACCCCCCGTTCTGGTGTCTGGATCGTATTGAGTGCTTTCGGACCAATGGTACACTTCATAAATTTTTACTATTTCGTAGCCTTTCTCCAAGGCTTTGAGAAGTTCTGGAGTGCAGAATGTACCTATGAAACACCGTTCCACTTCCGTATGCTCGCAATGCTCTCGTTGTTCCATATCCGCGCAAGTACGGCAGAGCGGGAACTTGAGTTTCCCATTGGAACGGTAAGGCAAGACGGGATGATAAAGGCCTCTGGGAGGTTGGATTTTCACTTTGGCAATGCCAAAGTATTGGTCCAAAGCCTTAAAGTTCCGCGTGATGATGGTAGGGTGACCAACTGGATATCTTCCATACTTGTTGACACTCGGGTATAATGAAGTAAAATCTTGATACAGAATTTCTTCATCCTCACTGGCCTCGTAGTAGAGTTTGATGGCATTGGTGCGACCTCCAAAAAAGCTGTCTCTGACATCCAAGCGTTCCTGCAGATCCAGTTTCTCGACAAAGTTTTTGAGCTCAGGCATGCTTCTTACCTTTTCGGTAAATTCGTGCTCCCACAGCGTGACCAAATTGTACCCTTGAGATTTCCAAAATTCATTCCTTTTCATGGTGAGTGCATACAGTTCTGAAAGGGACTGTTGCGTTCGTGGCAGAACGGTTGTGTCACGGTTGTGAGGGTAACACGCGCGACATCCGTGAAACATACAACCGTCGAACTGATATATAGTATTTGTCTCCCTACAATACCCATCCGCTGAGTATTTGTGACCCGGGATGCGAAATTCACCATCGTTCAACGCGTGTTGTATGCGAATGCCTTTGGAATGAGCCAGCCATTCCAGCCATTGAATAGACACTCGGCTGTATTGATCCTTTTTGGTGTAGCCTTCGTGTGGGACTTGGGCTATTGGACTGGGTAAGGTTTCCTCTTCGACGATGGTAGCTCCCAGCTCTTGTAGTAAATCCTCCAGCAGTACCCATTCATTGTCTCGTTCAACAACTTTCATTCCTTCATCATTCTCCCTCAGTTGGAGCCATTTCTCATCGTCGCAGTCTAATTTGATGTGACGATAGGGTTTCAGAAATGAAGTATCCGTCATATCCCTTAAAATTATGAGCAAATATGGTGAATTGTTCGTGTTGATCTGAAAACAACCATGAACAGAATTCCGAGGCCGTGTCTTTACCACAGAATTGAACTTCTCTGAGTCCACACTTGTCCTCGCAAGGAGGAACGATGTACTGCTTTTTTTTGTCACGTTTTCCGCAAGTCTTACAACGTGTCCCGCAAGAAGGACAAGGTTTGTCCAAAGAGTCCTCTTCCTTGCACACATCGCAAACTGACTGGGCTAAAACATAATTAGCTTTGTGCTCTGTCTTTCCACAAGATGAACTTTTACAGTTGTTGCAGAGAAGGTGATGCGTGCAGGAGCCGACAGTGTCGACGGTGCAAACTTGACAGGAAGATGGGACGTATCCATCTTTGCAAACGTAGATGTCATCCTGCGTACATTCGAAATCAAAAAAAAGGAATTTGGATATACCTTTGTTTTCTCTTGAAGTAGGGTGATGATAACACTTGTGATCTTGAGGGACGTATTCTTTACACCATTCGCATTTGTACTCCCCGCAAGTGTGCTGATCCAAATCGCGTTCTTTCACGTTTAATACTTTGAAACAATGCTGACACCTCTTCCATTGGTCGCACTCAGAGGCTCTGTTGCTCTTCTTCTTTTTCGAAATTGGTCGTGCCTTATGACGTATGAAACAGTCCTTGGACCTACAGGTCATGTTGCAATCTTTACAGATGACCGGTGTATCGGAGACTTCACAGCCAGGGCATTTGCAAACGATACAGTACGTTTCACACATATGCTGATGCCTTTTGTTGTAGGGTGTTAGACAGTTGTCACACCAATAGTTGCTGCCAAAAAATCCAGAGATCATCGTAATCGAGTGGAAGTGATTGTCTTCTTCGATTAAATAGATGAATAGTTTTCTTTTGGAGCTGTGAGTTTCCCCTTTGCGAATAAATTTGTTGCCCATTTCTGCACTGAGGACCAGTATTTCGCAATTCAGCACTTTCTCAAAGTCGGGAATATCGGCTAGACTCGAAGGGTGGTCTTGGGGCAAACCGGCACGATACATTAATTTTTCAGCAAACATTTTTTGAACTACACTCTTTGGATCTTTCATGTTTGCGAATAATCGGGGGCCACATTTCTTATGAGTTATAACGAGATCAAATTCATCTTGCCCTGGATATGCCTTGACTAAATCATTCCATTCTTTTCCCGTCACTCGGTAGGCTCTGGTTAAGGACACAGAGATAGATCGCGCCAAACAGAGTTGATCCTGGTTGCGTATTTCAACAATGGCTTTCTTTAATTTGATGCTTTCCCTTACATTGGTAATTTTATGGTCACTTCCAGCCCCTTTTGGCATCTCGATCATGCCAACATCTACTTCGAATGAAGAGTCCAGTTTCAACTCATTGTGGCTGGCTAAAGTTTTGGAAATGGTGTCTAGGACAACTTTGGCATTAAGATCCTGTAATTTACTGAGAGGTACAACAATAGCATTCGCTAGACCTTCGTGGCGAATAACAACGCAACCCAAGTCATTGTCGCCGAGATGTCCCCTGGTTCTCCTTAAAACATTGTCCTTGCCATTGTTCGTTAAATTTGACCTCATACACTCGCTGAATGGCTGCGTTTTTAGCAAAAGTCTTTTCATTCCAAAATGAAACTGCGTAGGGCGCTTGTTCTGATACCCCTGTTGGCGCAGTGTCAGGGCTAAAGAACACATCCTGGGGACTTTCGTGATTGACGGGAGCTCGATAGGGACTTTCAGGGTTAGAAGTTATTGACTCGAGTCTATCGAATCCCGTCAGTAATGTTCTCGGTGAATCTTGGTTGACCCTTGGACTAATTATTGGTAGGAACTGAGTAAACTCTTTCGTGGATGTGTTTGGAGAGACTGGCGTTATTTGCCCACTGGTTGATGGTCCATCTGGCACATTTGATAATGAACGCTGTGTGCATGCAGATCGATGTCTTCTAAGATCTAACATATTTTTGAAAATCTGACCACAACGTCTACAAGGGATACTCTTTCCCCTCCCTTGATCGGAGAATTTCACGTGTTTAAGAGAAGGTGTTGTGCTGTCAGAAGGGTCGTCCTCCCAGTCCCCGTCTGCAATACAAAGAGCGGCCAGCTGAGCCGCGTCCTCCTTTTCGTCAGGAAGAAGTCTCTTCAGTGATTGTCAGAACCTTTTTGGAGACGGACTGTCATTCCAGTCCCCGTCGGCAAGGCACGCAGAGGCCAGCTGAGCTGCTTCTTTCTCTTCGTTATGACGAAGTCTCTTAAGCGACTGTACGGATGTTGCAGAAGATGGGTCGTCCTCCCAGTCCCCGTCGGCAAGGCACAAAGAGGCCAGCTCAGCTGCTTCTTCCTCTTCATCAGAACGAGGCCTCTTGGGCGTGACAACGGAGGTTGGAGAAGTCGACCAGTTGACCGGACAATGTTGATACCAAAATCCATGGGGAGTGGTATATCGGCTTGATCCTGAGCAATTTCATCGCACAAGAGTTTAAATTCGTGCAGGATGACGTACTCTTCATTCTCGAGCTCATGTCTTAGGGACCAAGCTCTGAGATCCTAGCTCGATGTGAACGAATTCACAATTTTTTCATAAATAGAACGGTATTTGTCCATCTGAAACATGAATGATACCATGCCTAAAATATATATATATATATATACATTTCATGATACAGGTATTCTAATTGGTGTTATACTAAAGGAAACAGTAGATTAGGTCAAGACATTCACGATGCCATTATTTTCGCTCGATTCGATAGCATAGAAACGACGTAACAGTCACATAACCCAACTACAATACAAGATGACGTCGTAAGACGCCGCCGACACGTTCACGGGAAAGGTCTGTGGGAGAAGATGTCCTTAAAAAAAAAGATTTTTAAAATCGGACGAAAAGGAGGCGAGAAATCGCGGAAATTAAAAAAGACGTCTTTTTATGGTGTCACGTGTGGTCACGTGACCCACTTCTAACTTAGATGGATCATTACTCGGTCTGTATGGGTCCGATCTCGATGCGGATTAGTGCGTTGGAGCCGCCTTGTCTAGCCGCTTCCGTTTCGCGCTATGTCGTCGGCATCGGTCTATAACTACGAGATATGACGAAAGCGATGACGTCATAACGAGCTCGTATCCGACGATGAGGTTGGTATAAATACTCGCGTTTTGTTTAAAAAACAAATGATTCAAATAAAATTGGAAATCGACCCCGAGGTAGTGTAGTGAGAATATTTCTTAGTTCAGAGCGTTAATACGGTGCATTTTTTAAAATTATTACAGTACCTATAACTGACGACAGTCAACAGCTTTCGATGGCTGTTATTGGAGTTCTAGTGGATCGATTTTAACGAAACTTTTTGCATTATTTCCAACGTTGAACGAACATTTTATTCATCGGTGCTGCCAAACACGTTCGTTTCGAAGACTTTTTTACATGATCGGCGTCCTATTATTTCATATGTTATTCAACGCGATTCGAAAACAAACATTAATCAAGAGAATACTCTTTTCAGGGTCATTCCCATTATTTTGCCTATGTTGATTTTCGTATCTCAAAATGACAGCTGCAATTGTTTGAAAAGTTACATTTTAAAAACACAAAAAACAAACAAAATAAAACCCTAAAAGATTCTTCCCGATCTATGTTTATCGCTTAGTACGACCTGGTATCTCTTTGTTGCACGAACGCTAATTACAACGCCAGTTGCGTCGGCCGCATACCCATGATTTCATAACATTTTTAACCAATGGCAACGTCGCAAAGAGCATTTTCATTTTTTGAAACTTGAAATCTTATAGTACCTCTTCGCGACTTTGGCGTCACTTGCGTTTTGGGTTCCGACTTAAGTACATCTCGTGATCACTTCTCTCTGCATTCATTCATTCATCATGAATTCGTCATTTCCCATGTGAGTATTTCGGTATTTGTTTTTTTACTTCTGGAAACACGATGACATTATTACGTTATAATATTGTTATTAATCGCAATTAATTTGGTTTGACTGTTTTTTTCCTATGTTTTTTGTTTGTTTGTTTAACAGCAATAACGGCGCCTCCTCTCCCACAAGTATGAAGTATCAGTAAGTACTTTTTTCTTTCATTTTCTTAGGTAATTTTATTAGAATGTTATGTCGACAAAAGAATTTTACGAACGAAGGATCATTGGATTACAATTTTTAACGAGTTGTGTTCATCTTTTCCCCTTATTTTTCGTTTTAATTTCATTTGTAGTCTCTGGAGCAGCACTCCCGTAGGTCGTCCGGGAGTGACGACAATCAAGCGGCGTCTCTCCTACCAGGGAAAACTGCCTTCCCCCGTGTAAGTCGTTATGTTACTACATCTTGCATCTAGAAATTGCTTTTTAATGCGCGGTATACTTAATGCGCGGTATACTTGATTTATCGATAGTCTTGATGCTTAGGCGTTTTATTCAACGGTTTTCTCGTACGACACCACGTTATATAACGTATAATTCAAAAATTTGTTCTATTTTCTTTTTGCTTTGAAGGGAGAGAAAGGGAGACACGCAGACTCCCAACTCGTCTCCGAAGTCGCCCTCCTGGGTGGAGAAACGACGTAACAGTCACATAACCCAACTACAATACAAGATGACGTCGTAAGACGCCGCCGACACGTTCACGAGAAAAGGTCTGTGGGAGAAGATGTCCTTAAAAAAAAAGATTTTTAAAATCGGACGAAAAGGAGGCGAGAAATCGCGGAAATTAAAAAAGACGTCTTTTTATGGTGTCACGTGTGGTCACGTGACCCACTTCTAACTTAGATGGATCATTACTCGGTCTGTATGGGTCCGATCTCGATGCGGATTAGTGCGTTGGAGCCGCCTTGTCTAGCCGCTTCCGTTTCGCGCTATGTCGTCAGGATCGGTCTATAACTACGAGATATGACGAAAGCGATGACGTCATAACGAGCTCGTATCCGACGATGAGGTTGGTATAAATACTCGCGTTTTGTTTAAAAAACAAATGATTCAAATAAAATT